ATTATGTTTGGCATTGGATGATTATTTCAAAAATCATGTTGATCTATAAATGTGATTAGACTTTTATATTTGATAAGCATTCATTGATCTTATGTGATGATAATTTTAAATCACTAAGAGAGTTCATATTATTATCTTAGAGTATGATCTAATTTTTATGTAAAAAGATCAAAAGTTTTTATCATTAAAATGAAATGATACATAAAATTAATAATAATTAATATTACTAATTTAATATGTAAATTAAAAATTTGCTTACTCTTAAAATTATAATTAGTTTATATTATAAATTTTTATATTTTTAAATTAATATTTAAAGTATCAAGTTCAAAAATAAATTGTATTTTTTTAATTTTTTAATAGTTATATATAATCTAATTGTTTATTTTTCTTTTATTAAGAATTTAATAGATTATATTCATTTTATAATTCAAATATTTTTATATAATTTATATTATAAAATTAATTTACCTATTAATTAACATATTTATTAATTTAATTATATTTTATTATAAAATAAATAAAATATTACTAATATTTGATAAATTATAATCTTTAAACAATATTAAAATTATTAATTTATGTAATTATTATAATATACATGATTATTTTTATAGTTTTAAACAAAATATTATTTAATTTTAAAAAATACTCGATAATTATCTTCAAATTCTAAAAATTAATATTTATAATTAAATAAAATGATTTTAAATTACCAATAATAAAATTGTTTCAAAAATTACAACTCCCATAATAATCTTGCAAAAATAGCAAACGCAACACGACCTTGCCAGTAAATCCGTATCTTTTAGCTAAAGCGCTAGTCACATGTTCCTGCTAAAGTCACGTGCCTTCACAATCCACTCCCATGCTCACGCACGTATAGAACAACTGAGGACGAACACGGAACAGTTCCTCTCATGCGCGTTATGTTACCAAAGCGTCAATTCAATCCCATCAAGTGCGCGTAAAAATCCAGCTTCCAGTTAAACCCAAACCTCAGGGTTTTTTCCTTTTCCCGAAAAATTCAAAATTTGAAATTCCCCCTTTATGCCAAACGCTGTCGTCAGTCATCACCCACTTCCCTTGACGCTAACGGCAAGCACCACTTTCCGTCATCTCCTTCCTATATAATCCCTCGTTTTTCTGTCTTCATTTCCAAAACAAATCCCTCACTCAACAATTTTACTGTTTTTTTTTTCTTTATTCTCCTAAACCTCTCAGTCTTTCAAAAAATGCGTGAGATTCTGCACGTTCAGGGAGGTCAGTGCGGCAACCAGATCGGCGCCAAGTTTTGGGAGGTGGTTTGCGCCGAGCACGGAATAGATTCCACAGGACGGTACCAAGGAGACAATGATTTGCAACTGGAGCGCGTGAACGTTTACTACAATGAAGCGAGTTGCGGGAGGCTAGTTCCACGCGCCGTCCTTATGGATCTGGAGCCTGGCACTATGGATAGTGTTAGATCCGGGCCATACGGGCAGATTTTCAGGCCCGACAACTTTGTTTTCGGGCAGTCTGGTGCGGGTAATAACTGGGCCAAGGGTCATTACACGGAAGGGGCTGAGTTGATTGACTCAGTGCTTGATGTGGTGAGGAAAGAAGCCGAGAACTGTGACTGCTTGCAGGGTAATTTGTGTTTTATATTTTTAAGTAATTTGTGTTGTATATTTTTAAGCGTACTTTTTTTTTTTTTTTGGTTTCATTGTTTGGATTTTTGAGTGTGGAAAAATGATTAGCTCGTAGAAGAAGGATTAGGTGGTTTCATTCCTTGAATTGGTTGGTTTTACATTGTTTTTGCTATTACTTTCGAGCACGGATCTGACAATTTAAGGAGGTTTTAGGGTTTTATTGGCATGTTTAATCTGATATTACAACTTAATATCAAGATTCAAAATGAAGGTTATCTGTTTGGTTGCTCAAATAATTGATATTAAATGATAATTGTTTTGAATATTATTCTTGAAAACCTGTTATTATGCTTTTTAGATGGTCTATTCCAATATAGAGTAAGATGGTTCATAAAAACATGCAATGGTGATTTAAAATGTTGTAGAACTGTCATCTTGCTTTGGATTGGAATTTGCTTTCGTCTATCACCTGGCATGTACTCTTGTTGATCTTTGATTTGGTAATCATTTTTCTGATCTTCAGGATTTCAAGTATGCCACTCATTGGGAGGTGGAACTGGGTCGGGCATGGGAACACTTCTGATTTCCAAGATCAGGGAAGAATACCCAGACCGAATGATGCTCACTTTCTCTGTGTTCCCATCCCCTAAGGTGTCTGACACTGTTGTCGAACCTTACAATGCCACTCTTTCTGTTCACCAGCTTGTTGAGAATGCAGATGAATGTATGGTTTTGGATAATGAAGCTTTGTATGATATTTGCTTCCGTACTCTCAAGCTCACCACTCCAAGCTGTAAGTCAATATAACTTTTCACTCTGTTGTTATTGCTGATGCTTCCACTATTGGTTGTGAAAATTCTGTTGATCTCATTGGTGGACCTGTTTGACTGCAGTTGGAGACTTGAACCACCTGATTTCTGCTACAATGAGTGGCGTAACTTGCTGCCTTCGTTTCCCTGGTCAACTCAACTCAGATCTGCGCAAGCTTGCTGTTAATCTCATTCCATTCCCTCGGCTGCATTTCTTCATGGTTGGCTTTGCTCCACTTACGTCTCGAGGGTCACAGCAATACAGGGCTCTTACTGTGCCAGAACTCACTCAACAGATGTGGGATGCCAAAAACATGATGTGTGCTGCTGATCCTCGTCATGGGCGATACCTGACTGCTTCAGCCATGTTCCGAGGGAAGATGAGCACAAAGGAGGTTGATGAACAGATGATTAATGTGCAGAATAAAAATTCATCCTACTTTGTGGAGTGGATCCCCAATAATGTGAAGTCTAGTGTTTGTGATATTCCTCCAATTGGCTTGAAATTGGCCGCAACATTTGTTGGAAACTCAACATCTATTCAGGAAATGTTCCGGAGAGTAAGTGAGCAGTTCACAGCTATGTTCCGTAGGAAGGCTTTCTTGCACTGGTACACCGGTGAGGGAATGGATGAGATGGAGTTTACTGAGGCTGAGAGCAACATGAATGATCTGGTTTCTGAGTACCAACAATATCAAGATGCAACAGCTGATGAGGAGTATGATTATGAGGAGGAAGAGGAGGAACTCCAGGAATAGTAGTGTGTTTGTGCCTTTCTGTTTTCTGCCTTAATGTTCTGGAGTTAAATTTTTTTTTTTTTACACCTGAATACCTTGTTTGGGTGTTTGGATTGTGGTTATATGGCTGGTTTCTTGGACTATGGTTTTTGTTTTCTTATGGTAATACTTTACAGAGCTTTGTTTATGAACATCTCTACATCAGTAATTAATGAAAGCATATGAATTTTCGCCTTTATTCTTCACAGTGTTTGTATGGCATGTTGCTTTTCGGTAAATGTTAATCAACCTTGGTTGGAGAGAATAAGTTCTCTCATTTGGCACCCAATTTCTATTAGTTTTCTGACGTGCGAACATGCCTTATCGTTCAGGCCTTCTCAAACTCACTGACAAAACTCGTTGGCACTTTGGCAATTGGAAAATAAAAGTATCACTATGAAAAATGGATGTATGCATTTATTTTTTTCGAAAATTCATCATAGGAGTCTCGTAATTGGATCCAATTTGACCACAAAAAACATGTAGGGCCTTTTTTTTCCACTTTTAAGTTATGGTCGTGCTTTCTCGCACAGATACCTATTCACCTCGTTAATCCTGAAGCCTGCAAAGTGGATTCATGTGTTCGGATGAGAAATGAGAAATGAGAAAAAGTGTGTTTGGCGATTCTTACCTCCTCACCATATTTGTCTTCAGGGTCAGGGACTCCAGTTTGTGCAATATCTAGATGAGACAAAAGGACAGCATCAACTTGGACTGGTGATTTTTTCTTACCTGAAACAATAAGAAAATTAAAGATTGCACTATAAAATTTTCAAATTATCTAAAAGATTGGCTTAGAATCCCAATTTTAGTTTAATTGATTAATAAAACTGTTTTTTAAAAAATAATATTTAATAAATATGAAATTTAAAATTTAACATTTGTAATCCCTTATGCTAGACTCTGCTTATTTTGTTAAAAAAAAAAAAAAAAGACTAACTTAAAATTGTGGGTTTACATTCGCAACTAATTATATATATATATATATATATTTCAATTTGAACTAATAAAGTAAAGAGAAAGACCATTTATGACCATAATAACCATGACAATACCATGTTCGTGGTTGATATTCTAGTAATTTCACTCAATCATCGTGGTCAATAAACCAAAATTGAAAGTTTACATCCAGGATTAGTGAACTCCTTGATCCAACCCACAAGGTAAAAATATCCATTCGAATCAAAATACCCAAGATCTCGGGTATGGAACCACCCAAATTTGAATCCTGCCTTATATTGTTTATTAATTTATTATATATGGACATGAAATATGGATCACCTTCCGTATGCTTATTAATTTATTATTATTATTACTATTATATTTAGGGAAGTATCTAATATATATGTTATTAATTTTTAATAAAAAATAGCAATAAAAATTGCAAATATTAAGAACGTATATTTGCCTGGTTGATGTAGTCTTGCTAGAAGTTTTAGATTTATCATTTTTTTATATTTGAGATTATGAATTGAATTTTATTATCGAAATTAAAAGTTTAATATGTTATAAATTACAAACGGAATTGATCTTCGAGTACACATTTGTTCTACATAATTCTTTTTTTTCAAACAAAAAGAAGTTCTCACAAGTTCATCATGGGATAAAACTATGCCCACCTTAGGTTTCCTTTTTCAATTTAATGGAAATATATTTGTCACCATTTGAGTTTATTATTTTTCCTTTTCTTTCGATCGTTCTTCATCCAATGATAGTAATTATACGACGAAGATCGGAATTAATCACATAAAATTTTTTTCATAAATCTATACTTCATATATATATACTTATATATGTTACATATATCATACCCATTACAATATATATATATATATATATATGTTACATACATCATGCCCATTACAATAAGCAAACGAGTAAGCTGGGTATGGTACCATGCACACAAAACACAACCGCGTAACGTATAGCAAATCTATCTAGAAAGTAGCACCTTATTGGACTGAACACACCAAGCTCATGGCACGCATGCACACACCAAATCATGATGGTCATTGATGCACTTGAGCCTTTCTTCTAAAACCTACTAACTAGTGCAACTTTTTTATTGGTGCAAAAGGGAGTAGTAAAATTTTGTAAAAATTCCAGTACGTCAATCAACATTTAGAATGGCGCCATTGCTGGGGCGACTCCCAATAACTTCGCACCGCTGGCGGGTCCTGGTGCAACCAAACCAGAGCTTAGGATCTCGGCCATTCCTCTGCGTGCATGTGCTTCTTGTGCCTCACATAATTTTGGAAGAAAAACACCTGTCAAGGCAACAAGTAGCTAGTTAAATAAAATTATTTGCAGTTGTTCTTGGTTTTATAATAGAGCTTAACTTATATATACTAATTCTTGCTCTCTCTCTCTAGTCTCTAATAGGTATGAAGTAATAGTATTGTTGCACTATATATTACCTTCTCCTGCGGCCAGGTTGAAGTAAAGGTCGACGACGTTGGGGCAGCTATTGTGGCATTGAGGGGAGCAAAGCATTTCTGTGAAGCGAGACTCGAGGAGGGAATCGGATGAGATGCCGAAGGATTTTCTGTCAAGCCCGCATGCTTTGACACACTGGTCAGTTTCAATCCAGTTCTTGATCTTATCAGCTTCTATTTCAGATGTGCCGCAAGTGTATTCTTCCTCTCCGCTCCTCTTTACGTGCTTCTCTAGCACACAGCGCTTGCCTGTGGACGATACCGCGTAGGCGCAGGTGTCCTGGTCAAGGTGTTCACATATTATTTCTCCTGCAAACAAGCAATGACTTTTAATGTACAACCTAATAAAGTTTTGTTAAAAAAAAAAAAGTTGCATGTTCTAAGTATTAGATTTGAGAACCTAGGGTGGCTTGCAAGCAGAAGGCAAACAATGCAAGAGCTAAGACAGATAAAGTCTTCACGCTAAAGTTGGAAGCCATCGGTTCTAACGGACAGAAAAAGCCAAGATTTGTTGGGTATCAAAGGCTTTTACTCTTTTAACAACTGTGTGCTTTGTTCTTTGAGGAATGTGTAGTGAAGATTGGTGTGGCAGGAAAGGGGCACTTTATAGTTGGTTTCTGCTTGACATTGCGACTTGAAAAATCAACCCAAGGCATAAAGGATTTTCAAGTCAGAAAGCGACACGAACCTTACTTTAGATTTTAGTGACAGAAATGGTCGTTATTGGACCCCAGAGTGGCCGTCCAATTACTGCCGCTATCAACGGGGAGAGAATGCCACGTTAATCACGATGCTGTGCTTCTAATTAAAACCAATATTTTCGATATGGTCTAGCTGGAAATAAAGGATTCTCGTTCATTTAAAATTGGAACATTTTCAATGAGAAGTGAAACTATAGCTATGATTATTTTGCTAAGAACTACGAAGTATATTTAATTAAAATCTAACTGTTTTGACGCTCATCACATAGGTTTGGCACAAAACCATTTGCTAGGAAAATGCCTTTTTTATTCCTTAGAATTTATATACTCTAAATAGGTTATATTTGGATGATGGATATGATATAATGATAATTATATTATATTGTGTTTAGTTTATACTTAAAGAGAAAAATATGATTGTAAAGAAAATTAGTCATTTTCTTGATATATGATAATTCAATCTTTTCGAAAAAAAAAAAAAGGTTATTTTAATTCATGAGCTAAACTTACATGTCCTATTATGTTACGAATCTCATCTAAAAGTTTTGAATAGGATTTTGGTACCATTTGTTAGGATCACGATAGTTTTGATTTTAGTTGTTAGATAAAAACTCTAATCAATTAAACATTCAAATAAGAGAAAATTTAATTAAACAATCAATTAATCACATAAGAAATAACAATTTAACGTGATTCAATCTAATTAGCCTATACCCACGAATAAAAAAAAAGATCCACTAGTTATAGATAATTATAAATAATTATCAAATCAAACACTCACTCACAATCAATATTCATGAACTTTTTCATTCTCCTTTAGTCTTATGAAGTATTTTCAATCCAAATAAAAACATATCAATATCGCTCACCATATATATGTAAATCATCTCAATCTCCTTTAGTCTACTCAAATAGACATATTCATATGAACAATCTCAATCTCTTTTAATTCTATGAGGTATCTAACCCACAAAACCTTAATATTTTCACTACAGGAAATGTAACATATAGTGACGCTTAAAAAGCATTCGTAAAACTCGAAAATCCGTCAATATAGTACCATAAATCCTATACTAATAGTCAAAAAGTATATTCCGATGAATTTTTAATTGTTGGTATATCTCTTGTTTGTATAGACCTATACTGACAGTTTTTAAGGCGTCAGAATAGCTTACAGAGATACACCAACTGTTCAAAACCGTCAGTAAATGTATATATGTTGGTATAATATCTATTGTGTGTTCCATTATTATATCTTTTAGTGACAGTTAACATCCATCAGTCTAGACTTGTATGTTTTAATTTTTCTTGCCGATACCAATGGTTAATGATCGTTGGTATAGACTTTACATGTATTGACGCTTAAAGCCCATTAGTATAGATTTGTATATTTTAATTTTCTTACCTATACCGATGGCTAGTGCTTGTCAGTATAGATTTATATGTTTTAATTTTTCTAACCTATACAGACGGTTAATGTCTGTCAATATAGACTTGTAATTTTTCTTACCTATACCGATGGTTAGCATCTATAATTATAGATTTATATTTTTTAATTTTTTTACTTATACCGACAGTTAGAGATGTCAGTATAGAATTGTATGCTTTAATTTTTTTACCTTTACTGATGGTTTGAGTTTGTTAGTATAGACTTATATGTATTAATTTTTTATTATATTTTGATTATTATTAGTATTGCTTGAAATATTTCAACGATCAAGTGTGTCGGTATAAATGTTAAGACGTTGATAAATTTTTATAAAAATTATATTTTTAATTATTAATATTAATTTATTTATAATTATAATATAATATGTTTTCATATAAACAAAAAAAAGTAAAAGATATTTAATAACATTAAAACTATAATTAAATTATTTATAATTCACAAACTTAGTATAAATGAAAAACTAAAGTCAATGTACCAAGTTTGACAAAACAAACATCGATAAAACAAATATAGGTCAAGGTGACACCACTTTACCCTAAAAAACACAATCATAAGTTTGCACTATCAGATACTTAAAAACCTTTTGATCACTTTAAAATTTTAAAAGAACTCTGAACAAGATAATCTTAAAAAATCTATAAACGAAAAAACAATTGCAAAACCACGTCAAGAAGAAAAGACATACACGCACCTATAAGAAGCCCTTTCCAAAATTAAAATATTTTAATTCATACAAAATATCACAAGTCTTGAAAAAGTCAATAAATGTAGCTACATCATATAACTAACAACCTCAATGAACCCAGCTCACTAATAGTATTCAATATACTAATCAAGTATCACAAAACATAACAACCTTATTTCAACAAACTGCATAACATCTAAAATAAAACCAAATCCCCTACAAATATAATACTTCGAGTAAATAAGCAACTTCCTCAAATAAATGATCCCATTATAGATTTTTACAAAGAAGCACTACATAGTATAAAAAAATCCAATTAAAATTCTTGTAAATTATCTTATATATACAAAAAGTAAGAAGGTAAGAAGGTAATCATCCATTCATATACTAGTAAAAATAATTTTATAAACATCTTATTCATTTATATATACAAAAGGTAATCATCTATTTATATATCAATAAAAATAATTTTATAAACATCTTATTCATTAGTGTAATGCATAAATGAACAAGAAATAGCCTAATTTACATGTGTAATCTCCTTATTCTTTTAGTTTAATTCGAAATAATAACTTTATGAAACCAAACTAAGATTATTTTAGTCAACAGAACTATTATTAAAAAAATATTTTCACTATAACATTTAAGTCTACAACTACAAAGCATACTTATATTATAAGAAAACCTTTTTAAAGGAAAAAAAAAAAAGACAAGAAAGCCTTCTCAAGGGAAAAAAGCAAGCTTTAAATCATAGCGTAATTTAATGATTATAGCAATAATGATGGGTACTATTTGAAGATCACAATTACATGATTCAAAACCTAGATTCAAAATTGATTTTCATGTTCTATCTAAGAAACAAGTATCAAGCAAAGCATTTTCACATATATATATCATGTGATGACGAGTTTACCATTTTTATTTTCATTAGGTTGATGACTTAAATTTGAAAAATGATAGTTTTCAAGTGAGATTTCTATAGCACTAGTAACATTAGGAACCTAAAATTAATTCAAAAAAAAATTTAATAAGGTTTAAGATTCATGAACAAGATGACAATTTACATATATATAAACAAAAATAGATGTTATATAGATATCTTTATTCACCATGTGAGTAATAGTATGCAAGATATCCATATTCTCTTTAGAAAATTATCTTTTAAGTACTGATAAGACAATACTTAAAGTTTCTTTCAAGATTTTAATTTCAACCTTCAACTCTTGTACCTCTTCCTTATGCTAAAGCAATTTAGAAAATGAAAGACCATATTGTTTAGATGAAGTAGATACTATACCCATGCAATGAACATGCCTTTTCCTTTTTGGTCTTTTAACTTTTGAATAAACATAATTTTTTCATGAACTCCCTTTAAAATTCTAAGCATTAGTTTCCCTCAAGCCTTATTTCATGAGTTCCTAAAATTGTAAACAAACATTTTAATATAAAGAAAGTAAACATAAGTAAAAGCAAGTAATAACTAAATTAAATACCACAATTTCATCTATCTTATCATTCACAACACTTTCATCTTTATATGTACGAGAAAGAATGTACACCTCATCACGTGAGGGTGGAATTCCATTAGGTTCTTGTTTATTCAAAGGTACAAAATTAATTATTGTAATGACAAAATCGAATATATAAAAAATAAACTTCATATTCATTTATCTAAGTATGACAGGAAAAATTGATATATGTATCAAGGTTTGAATGATTCTCGAGAATGATTTTATTCTTGTGCAATGAGACTAATCTAATTTTGAGTGGTTTATTTTGTTTGTCTCACTTTGTTCCTCTAAACAAATGAATAAGAAAAGATATATTATAATAACTTTGTAATTATTATCACAGCATTCAAACAAAATAAATAGTATATTTTGTAAACATTTATCTTCACTTTATTAGTTAATCAATGTGCAATAAAAAACATGAATTGACTTTTATCTACTCGAAAATCATCAACCTTTGCCATTTCATTCGGTGTCTTGTGTTCATCATAAAATTTAGACTTCAATTCATTTTTCTATTACCTCCACTTAGTACCCATGTTTCTTAGTGCCCAAGCCTTAATTCTTTGAATTATTTTTTCATCAACGAGCTCATCAAAATCAGATTTATGAAATTCAAACTTTGACTACAATTTGAAAGAGGCAATTAGAAAGAAAATGTTAATATATATTTTATGAATTGCTGCTATTAACTAGAAACTAAAAGATTATTGTCATACATTAGCTAGCAATAAAACATTATCGTATTGATACCTCTAATATTTTTCACATTTCTTCCTTCTTAGAATCCAACATTTCATGCCAATTGGTATTATTAATTGGTGCAAAGCTAGGCATTCTCACTATGCTACTAATGAATCGAGTTAAAGAGTAAGATTCATCATCGATAGGTATAGCATCATCATTAACCTTAACTATAACATGCTCTATTTATTCCAAATCTCAAATATTAGCCATACGTGTAGGATCTCAAGCTTTTTTATGTTAAAAATTTCCTACATAAAAAAATTACACGTAAAGAAAGTAATTAAATTCATTAAAAAATTAAACAAGTATAACATTATAATGCATAAAGTTTTGTACTAATAGAATTTAGTGTTTTTATACATGAATTATGTTTAACTTGTTCATCTTGATCTTCATTATTTGTAGATTGAAAAATTAGCTCTTAAGATTTTTATAAAGGATCATGTTATGAATCTTCTGGATCTACAAGCACATATTGCTTTTTAGATTGTGTTTGTAGCTGAGAAGTAGAGGCACGATATGCCCCAGTGATAACTAATCATCTACGTTTTA